CCTATTACAAAAATTTTAAGTTTGTTGTCGTTGGAATTTTAATCAGGGTATGAATATAATCTTTAGTTTTTGGAGTTGACATATTTGAATCGCGTTAATTCATCAAACCCTAAGCAAACGCCGGCGCTTAAACACGAACGATTAAAAGGTTAAGCATATTGTATTATTATAATTTAAATGTTATTATAGTATTTAAATGTAGCACTTTCCAATCAGATTCTTGTTGCAACATTAACCTGTATGTATATTGACGCTCACGGCGTTGTCGTGTCCAGTAGACGCCAGGTGTGCTCACACCGGCTCCGTGGTTAGCATTGAATACAGATCTGCATTGACAGGTTACTGGCACAACGTTCTAATCACTAAGCATTCTAACATGTCTCTTGATTTGAATAGAATTAAATCAAGAGAAAAAGACTAAGTTTTTATTTGTATCGATTTGTAGGTAAAATCTTGAAGCTTGAAGCATAGGTGCCAGTAGAAAAGGCGTATAAGTATGTATAAATGAAAAATGCGATTTTATGTTTTAAAATTATGACTTTTTTGATCTAGGAAATTCATCCTATAACTTTTCCACTCTAGTTGAAAAGGGCGAAGAGGGAGTTTCAGACTCTAAATGACTAAAACCAGTGTAGCAAGCAACCCCCTTTTTCTACTTTAGCTTAGGCTGTGGCTGCGGTACATGATTCCGCAACTGAAACAAGATGTAATTGTAATTAGATTTAATTGAACCAGACCTGGGGAAGGTATGAAATTAAAATTTATTACACAAGGATTTTTCTGAAAAGTAACCTAAATATTTTTTTGCGGATAGAATAAAAAGCATGTTAAAAGTGTAATTTAAAGATATATAAGTATTACTTTAAGTCGTAAGTATACATATAAGTATTATATGTAAGTCGCATAGTAAACTTGAATAAAACCTAAACAATACACGACGTAGCAAACAGCCAAAGCCCAAAGCTCTGGCATTTGCGTCACCTTCACTTTTGAACTATAGCGCATGCGCTCTACCAGTTGTTACTTGTATCCATCACGAGTTGCGCAAGCGACGGTCACGAGCAGTCCTTTGTCAGTTACAGGCTCGAAGTGAGGTAATACGGAGGCGTTGTTATTTCCATGAATATTCATGTTCTTTGAATACTGCTCTCCTTTCAAGCTGAGAATTCTGTGGATGTTATCTTTTAAAAGCTTTGACCGCAATGAAAAAGAAGACGAGTTTGGACCTCAAATAAACTAAGAACAAAGGATTTTGATCATTTAGGTTACCCATACAAATACTATAGGTATTTCTCAAACCGGTCTGACCATTTTTCACACACTGATGTGTTTATCCGTCGCCAAGCAACGCGATAGCTGACAATCGTATCGCCGGGTTCCTTCCGCAGAAAAGAATAGGTCATATTTTGTTCTGAAAAAGGTTGATAGTCGTATGAAGTATACACAACATTGTAATACACATAGCACGAGAGTCACAATAAAGAAAACTACAGAAATCTGAATTTTAATAACAGCCGAGAAGTCTAAAAAAAACAATAAAGTTTACTTGTGTAAAACTGTACCCAAAGTAAATTAAAACATGATCATTTTATGAAATTTGCGTCAGCTTTCATTTAGAGCCACCCCAGAAATTGGTCTGTTAATTAAGGAACAATCGTAGTGTGATGAACTAAGTTGTTAGTTTTTTCTCCACTTTTATAATATGAGTAGTGAACCCCAAAATTACAATACATCAGAGCAGGAGAAGGAACGGGGGGGTTTTAGTCAGTAAGTGTCTGACACTCCCTCCCGCCCGGCCCTAGGCGGGAGAAGTCATTTGATGATTTTCCCCTGACAAAAAAAAAACAGATAAAATGCTTTTAAGATGTGAAATTAAGTACAGACATTGCCTACACAATATCGTAGCTTAGAGAATGCCAAGGCCTCGAGTGGAAGCTTAACTTGAGATATGAAACATTATAACGATGATTTATGAGGTGCAGTGAACCTTCTGTCAACTAGAAATACGTACCTATAGTGCGCAGACGCATACATAATGTATGTCGCGCATGGATCGCGATTGATATGCGGCGGCTGCGCAGGCGCACGACCGCCTTTGCAATATACAGTCTTTGTTCTCGATGCCGAGAAGCCTGCAAAAAGGAATGCTATCACGTTTATGTGTCGATTCTTCCATGAATTTTTAATTTTAATTTTTGCATCGTTTGAGGCTCTTGGCTTTTTGTTTAGTTCCAATTACAAAAAACAGGGCAACCATTTTAAGTAAAATCGGTAAAAATACCAAACTGGGACCCCAGAAAATACAAATACTTACCTGATATTTTCATTTTTGTTAATAAATTGTTGATGTAATCGATTGAGTTACATGTAAATTTACCATTATGTTCAGAAAACGACACAAGCAAACGTAGGGTGTTTGAATTGGTTTTTGCATCATTAAAGTACAATAAGATAAAAATGTGGATTCGTGGCCGGCTATCGTAGGTAGAGTAAAACCACAACAAAACAAACTGTTCAATCCACTTGACATTTATACTTAAATACCATGTGGTTAAAGACTACATACTAGAAATAAAAAAAAATATGAATAAACACTATACCTACATTGTAACTTGGCGGTTAAATTCAAACTTGGAATGATTTTATTTATTTGTTTTTTTTTTGTATTTGGAATTATAGAAAAATAAAATAATAAAAGTAAAAACGTAAGAAAAGTACGTTTTGTTTTTCATTTAGAATTCAAATGCTTGTTAGGGCCCCTTTATGAATGTAATTATATATAGGTAAGATATTAGTTAAATACATAGACACATACACAAATGATCCAATGTTACACATAGATGAATCTATGCAAACAGTACTTGATAAGGCGCCATGTTGGTAATAGTTTTGTCTTGTTCAAACAATAAGTTTTGTAAGAGGAATTAACTGTGGAATTTTCCAAATATTTTGACGCAGTTGTCGTAGGTTTAAAAGTTTAATCTCGTGTAGGGAAAGGTGTCTCTTTATTTCGTTAGTTTTTATGATGGTTTTAAATTACTCACTAACATCTTTTCCATCTAAAAGTCTTAAGCCCTATGTAAGAAGAAAAATAGAGTTGTCTGAATTCCACTGACACAGATTTCATTGATTCCTAAATAGTACGAAAATATACACTATATTAGTACCTTTTTCGATATTATGTAATTTAAATATCAAGTAACTGGCTTTTTATATACAAAATCACAAATGAAGTTAGTATACTATGGTAAATGGTATTAAAAAGTATTAGGTAACATTAAGATTAAGAGCATCTATAACCGATTGTTAGCTTTATATTATTTTAATAATATAGTGTAGCTACACATTACCTAATATAGTATGTTTTATAATTTGGCGGTTAAATTCAAATATGGAACAATTTTATTCGATTTTATTTGAATTAGGAATATGAGAAAAAAGAAAATTGCATTAAGTTACGTTTTTGTCAACCTTTATGAATTGTAATTTCATTCATTTAAATAATATGTTATATATCAATTATTACATTACATGATCAATTACTCAAACTATATTGCTTATAAGTCTTTAAATCAATCAACAAGTTACAATAACTTGTGTATATTTGCACAAGTAGGTATGTCTAGCAAAAGGTCGACGGGTTCTTTAACATTGACATACGGAAGCAGGCAGCCGTTGATATTCATTGTATGGTATCATGTTGTCTACTCACTCGGGACTTAAAGGAAACTTAGTAATTAAACGTCATTAGCTTTCACTCTCAGTGACTTTGTAACTCATTCAAGATGTACTTTTCGATATAAAAATTATTGTTTAGACTTTTCAGTGTTTCTTTTCATGGATTGAGATAAGTTATGTATAGAGGTATGTGTGTTATATTTGAATGTTTAGAAATTACAGTAATTAATCTTCAGATGGGGTTGCGGGTCAATCGCAAAAATTTAGGTAACCGCAGCCGCGGCCAGGGACAGGAGGATGAACGGGGTGGTTGGGGTGGTTTTTAGTCAGTAAGAGTCGGACACTTCCTTTAGCCCAAAAGGGAAAATTATACGAATCAAAAATTGATTACAAAATAATAATAGAAAAGTTTGACGCTATAAATACAAGGTTTTGTCAACATCGATTTAATTGTGGCACCTTGCGCCATTTTGAAATTACGTTTCTTTTATTTAATAGTTATAGTTAGTTATATAATATGTTTCAATTTGATTCAATAATTATTTAGAGAATAATTTAAAATATTACACAGTAAAGTACAGAATAAAAGTATTAATAACATCATTATAACAAGGAGAAAGGTCTTACCGTGTTTGCGGTCACAGTCATCGTCACATAGCACTTTCTTTTGTCGTGTCATCGCTAATGACAGTGGGTTCATGGGTGCCAAATGTGCCAGTCGTGAAATGTTGGCGATTGGCAATTGCTCAATTATAGTAATGCCTAGTACACGATCTACGAATAGCATAATTATCGCCCTTGTAAATATTAACCTATACTTATTGTGCAATAAAGCGTTTTGGTAAGATACCTAATCATACATTGACATGGACGAAAATGTTAATGATGAAAGGCTAATGTGAGCATCGGGTATTCCGTCAACTCATTTGCCGCACAATCACATAAAACACTAGTAACTAATGTTTTTATGTAACAATTGTTTTTGTTGATGTTGCCCTTTAAGAATTTGTTAAGTTTTCAGTAATGAATTACGTTCAGTGTATTATTTTAGATAAATTATCTTATTATATTAAATTTGCTCATCTGCCTCCTATTAGTTAAAAAACAAATGTCTACGTTGCAAAAATTTTTCATTCATAGATATTTTCGGTCAAATTTTCAAAAAATCACTCATACTTGGCATAAAAGAACATAAAAAATATACACATGACTACATCTGGAGAAAATCCTGGTACCGTAAAGTCTAGTTAAGCCATTTAATATAATCCAGCTTTCTAGTACGAGAGGATCCTAACTATATTTTTTATCTGTATTGTTGGCAGGGCCGGCACGATGTTGCAGCAGATCCTGCGCGACATGTGGGTGGACCCCGAGATCCTGGCCGAGCTGGACGAGACGCAGAAGCAGACGCTCTTCTGCAAGATGAGGGAGGAACAGGTAATAAGACATGTCTGCTTATTTTTTTTATGGATTACATCAATGTATTTAGATTGTGTATATATTATAACCAAAAAAAGTGTATATTACAAGCGCTCATCAAGTGATACATTAAAATGTGGCTAACTAGCCACACTTTGTTATATTTGTCTCTTTTCCACTCGCGATTACTGAATCATGCCATCTCACTTTGACGTCTGAACATACGAATCGTTCATGTGTGTATCAGTTTGTCGTTTTTGAAAATCGAATTTTGTTTAGGTAACCTAACTACACCATTTTACTTATAATATCTTTGGATTATACGACCAATGGTCACTTAAGGTTTAGCAATCGATGCTGCTCGTGGACCGGTGTCCAACACCAGTAAGTAAGTGTGTTCCCGGTCTTTTGGGACTTAAGGATTTAAGAAAGGAGGGTGGGTAGGGGTTAGGTTGGGGCCTATTTTACGGTATATCTACATTTAGTTACCTAAATTAAAGCTTAGACTAGACTCTATGTATAAAGTATACCTAACTATGCTAGCTTACTTTAGTAAATAAGGAAGTAATATTATAACTAGGAGAGCAATAAACTATTATCTAATTTAGACTAACGACAATCCTGATGATAGACGCTAGCGTAGTCTTAGTAACAAGGTCCCCCTTTTTGCCCTTTAGGTTACCTAGGTATCCTAAAAAAAATAATTATTCAATCATTTTTTCCCACACATTCTTCTATGGTCGCGTAAAAAACCAGAATTGGTAATAAAAAGAGACTGACTGCATAAAACACTATTCCTAGAATGTATTAGACACTAGCCTGTAGTTCTAGCCTTATCTCTATTAATACGCGTGCAATCATTCGATTCGCCTTCGGTTCTATTTATTTTACGAGTTTCGGCGACGCCATGACACCCAAGTTATGAAGTATATAGCGAGTACTTTATAAAAGCGTTTGTTCGTTGTTTTTTTTTAATAATAATTTAGGAGCAAGATACGGTATTCGGAAAGTTCCAACATACTTATCATCCTTTTTTATGAAATAGCACATTGTGACGTCAATATATAAAAAATATATTGTAAATAATAATAATAAAAATGAAGGTCCAATTATTTTCAATTGTTTTATAAGTTGAAAATATTTGTTTTTGATTGAGGAATCTAGCCAAGTAGGTTTAAGCGCTTATGTAACTATTCAAAGACATTAATCGACTTGTTTCAAGCTACACGGGAAACATAATTGTCAACATATAATTTAATATACAATTTCGATTCTCTGAAAGAAATCAACTGAAGATCTCTAGCTTGGCGCTTGCGACCACAGAACAACAAGGCCAACTCATAAAGTTAATTAGAAATTATTTTTATAATTTTGCCGAATAATATTTAAAGCTAAGCTTCCCCATTCTCTATTCCATAATAAATACCAGGAAGCTGCGCAGCGATTGGCGGCATTATAATCATGAAACAAAAACTGTGATTTGAATGCTATTTGCTTTATTTGCCAAAAATCTTAATTAACGCTTTCAAAACTATATATATTCTATTTATGAATAGAATTCCAAGGTAACATAATTTGATATGCTAGTGTTTGTAAAATTGCCGCGAAGTTTAGGATATTGTGAATGCGCATTGTCATGTCCTGACAGCTTCCGTGTTACAAGAATGTCTTCATGTCTACCGGTAGCAGTGTCTGTCGGAACAGCCTGTGTCGCTTTATCGCAAGATATTAATAAACGTACGCTATTATTTAAAAAATATGTATGTAACTTTGTTTTTAAAATGAAATTTTGAAACAAAATTTTGTGGTTACAGTCAACCGATTGACTTGAAATCTATACTCTATACTCTTGTATGTTTTTATGTAGGGGGTAATCTTTGAAACCTCTATTCGGATTGCCTACATTCTTTCACAGACTGATTGCCACGATGTCCCTGAGTGCTATGGGCTATAAAGTATCACGCTACGATCAAATGGAGCCGTGCACCGGTGAGACAGCGCGAAACTAGCTAGTATTGTATAGATGTTTAATTTGGCCATTCTAAGGTGTATAACACTTAATTCATATAAAAGTCTACAAAGCGTTTTTCCCGACACTTATTAACTCACCTAATAAAAACTTTCAGACGGGGTTGCGGATCAAGCACAATAGTGTAAAACAGGTTCATTAAGAGTCTGTCACTCCTTCTCGCTTTAACTAGGGCGAAAAGATCTCCAACGATTATCCCCCTTAATTTAAAACTTCAATTGCAACTTCATAACTGTATTAGATTTTTTTATAAGCAGTAGAAGTTATTTGATGTTTTTAAGCACAAATGTTATTGGTTTGCTCTATCCTCCTCTTGCAAAACAAATTGTGTTAATACAATAGATCGGTTTTAATGTGCAAAAAATGAATGGTTTATATTGTGCTGATTGACTACTATACATTAAAATAATCGAAGCTTTTTATATATCTAATAGACGCTAAAAACACAGGTAGCAATATAAATCAAATTATTAAACATTAGCGTACGTTTTTATATTAATAGATTTAATAGGTCAATTATTTTTTCATGTGTATTTAAATAGAGTCTTAACCACTAATATTTTTTTTGAATTTGATTGTATTACAACTGTTAAAGGTTATTTATTTTGCGTTATAGTATTTAAATGTTATTTTATTAAAGTAAACGTGAAAAGTCTGGCTTGACCATATGTCTGACGTCTGGCTTTGGAATATATCCAAACCTAGTCAATTCAAAATAGGTAGTAGATTCTAGCCGTATACGGTTTACAGATATAAAATACCATAACTTTTATAAATATCGTTCTCCTCCCCCAATTCTTAAATCTCCAAATCCCTGATCCCCAAATGGTCTGCAACGCACTCGTAACTCCTTTGTTGTTGCGGGTGTCCAAGGGCGGCGCTGATTGCTTACCATCAGGGAATTGGTCTGCTCGTTTGCCGACCTATCACATAAAAAAAGTATCTTAATACCTCAAATACTAAAACACAATGAATATAAGTTACTGCTGTGCGGGTTTTTGGATCAAACGCAATAATATACCGCGACCTCGGCCTCCCTCGGCCTTCCTCGGCCTTCCTCGGCCTGAATCAAGAGAAGGAACGGGGTGGATTTTAGTCATGAAGAAACTGACATTCCCTCTCATCTGGGGCGAGAGAAGTCATTTGTTGATTTTCCCCTCTCCAAACTGTTTTATCAACTTTATTATTGTCATTATTACTCAGTAAAGGAAATTTTCGTTTTGTAAGCTCTGTTTGAATTCAAAAGTGAATTTTGTCGTATCATATTGAGATCCTTAATTGGTATACAGTATGGTATGGTTAATGAATGTGGGCCCGGAGGTGACGGCTGAGGTCAATGCGACATGACCTTAGCGCATTCCGATAGTACGCCAGACCACGGCAGGATCTGCAGTGGATAGTTATAAAACCTAGTTATAATATTACAACATATAAGTAGTTATAAACAAATATCACTACAAAAATACATAATATTATCAAAGCAAATGTCTGCCTTAAACGCTTATAATACTAGTTTCTACTTATGATGAAAATCCTTGGGCATAAGAGGACGAAGGTGTACGCTCATTTCCAAATGACGTTGCCGTACCAAGTACCTAAAACTTCAACACATAGTATAAAACAAAGTCGCATTTGCTGTCCCTATATCCTTAAATCTTTAAACTACGCAACGGATTTTGATGAGGTAGAGGTAAATGTAAATGTAAATGTAATTGCACCCATTAAATAGTGGAGTAATTTAGTATCAGCATTGCAACCGTGCGAAGTCGGGGCTGTCGCTAGTAATTCTATAATGGCTTAAAGTATTCTATTATTTTATTTATATTTATCATTTGTTTCCTATCTACAACTTACATAATAATCTATATTTCTAATGCAATAAAGATCAACTTGTTTAATATTACTTTCAATTTAGTACAAGGTCGCTTTTTGTCCAGCTCCTGTAATGGCGGGCAATTCGTGACGCCAAAGATCGCATCTAACAACGAGTTAACATTACCGGTTACAATGCGATTGTTGGGGTTAAACTAACCCATCCGGTTAGCTAAACATTTGTTGACTGTGCCGATTGTTATCAAGGGGAATTGTTTTTTATATTGCATAATGTAATGCTAAAAAGCTTTGGGGTGTAACTGCTGATGAAAATTATCACAAGTACGGGAGAGCCATGCTCCAGTTGTAGTAACTCCTTTGGTATTTCGAGAGTTCATGGGCGGCAATGAACGGCAAACGAGCAGTCAGATTACCTGATGGTAAGTAATATCATCATGTAATCTGTCTGCTCGTTTGCCGATATATGACTTAAAAAAATCACATACTTTGTAAGGAAGGTGATGATAAGGATGAAGAAGTAATACACGGAAACATTTTTGTAATTTCCAGGTCCGTCGCTGGCAGCTCTGGGACGAGAAGGTCGGCAAAGAAGATGAGAGGCCTAAATTCCAGAAGAATGGCAAGAAGCAGGTGCAATTCCTCACAGGAGAGGACGGAGAACCATGGGTGAGGAGATGTTATTTTAGAAGAGAGAGTAGGTAATAGAACTGTATATAGCACAACTTAATTCTGTTCTTAACAGTTTGTGAGGAATTGACAAGAAATAGGTAATTAAAAATGTACACGACACAATATGTGTTATAAAGGAAGTCATAAGTACTTCATGTTGTGGAAACCTACTACTCAGAATCAATTCAATTTAATACAAATATTATTAATAATGAAGGCTGGCTCTGATTGTGAATAAAGATACAATAGTAATTGAGTATATATATGTACATATATATAATTTACATCCGGCTAAATCGACAGAATACAGTCAGCCTTCAAACGGATTTGACTCCAATATTATTTGAAGGTTTCATCCATTGTTTGGTCAAACATTCGACCTTTTCAAACAATACCCAAATGAGTGGATGATTAATCAGTCATTTGCTTCATTTTGTCAATTGATTTAAGTCTTAATACTTTATTTATGTTAGTTATTGTTAGTTAATCGACTGCACGGTTGGCGCGGCGGTTGGGCAACTGGCTACCGCGCAACGTGTCGCGGGTTCGATTCCCGCACGGAACAACTCTTTGTGTGATCCACATATTGTTGTTCCGGGTCTGGGTGTGATGTGTATGTGAAATTGTATGTTAAATGTAAACGCACCCACAACACAGGAGAAAATCCTAGTGTGAGGCAACGTAAAAAAAATTGCCGTGCCTCGTTCTTTAGTGTAATGGGTCAGTTTATGGAGTTTTATGACGAGCGAGATATTACTTTCGAAAGTTGATAGTACATCCATACAGACAGATAGCTTAGTGGCTTACCTATGCCATGTTGTCTGACCAATAAAACTTGGGTGTTCCAGGTATGGGTAATGGGAGAGCACCCCGACGACAAGTCAATAGAGACGATCCTGGCGGAGGAGGCTCGAGAGAAGGCGATCGCGCAGGCGCGGCAGGAGGTACAGCAACTCAGAAAGTCAGTTGAGAAGGAGCTTACGCAACTCATTGAATACAAGCCGCTCGATGATTTAGAACAGGTAAGGATATAAACTGATTATTTTAAAGTTAAGGAAACATTCTATTTGACATGGCTTGGGCTACTGAGCATAAGGAAGATTTAAATCTGGAAGTTCAACAGAGATTTAATTTATAATAATTCTTTCGAAATGTTCCAGAAATTCGATCTATCCCCGAAAACGATAGACCCTTTAGAAGACACGTTGGAGATTTACTGCACAGTTGACGAGCTGCGACAGAGGATTGAGGCTCTGGAGCCTGACGTGAAGCTGGAGTCGGATGACCTGGACAAACCTGACTTCAATGAGACCTTGAAACTAGATCTCAATAAGAATACGCTTCACTTTAATTTTATCGAGGGCAAGAGAGATGTACTGCAGGTCAGTTGAAGGCCAGAATCTTGTAGTGTGTAGTCTCTTTCACTTACTTTTATTGTACTTTGATTGTAAATATTTGTAGTTTTAGATTTTTGCTTTTGCATGTCTAAAGTGTCTCCTGTCTTGACTCTCTTATCTAAATGAAGTTTGATAGTTTGCACTCGTGTATATTTTCTACTTCTTTTAAATTTTGTCTTCTAGTTGCCACTTTACCTGTATTTTGTTTAAGCTAATCTATTTTAGGGTCATTCTAGGTTAGTTTCAGACGAAAAGCACTGTAAAATTCTCTTGTATCTACTTGCTTAATAAATTGTGTTATTTAAGAATATTTTTTGTATATTAAGAAATATAATTATATCAGTTTTTTTTTTAAATTGTCGTTTTAATCTTCACTATCCTTCAATTATAATTTCATTGTCAAATCATATAATCAGTTCATTCATCATTCGAAAACCCTCATTAGGGTAACATTTAGAACCTCATACAAGTTAGAATTCGTTTTATTGAATAATTAAACTTTGAACTATTGAACAACTATACTTCATTTGTCATTTGGATATAGAGATCAAAATATAGATCATTGTCATCAAAATACAAAATAAACATAATATCTGTTCATTATAGAATGAAAAGCATGTGTTTTGCTAAAGGACTTGCATGAGTTTTGCTATGTAGCTTTATCATAATAAATTCAATAATTTCTAATAGAGTTATATCTCTTATAATATCTACACAATTGCTTATTTTAATCTACCTCGGTGTGGTCTTTTCGAAAGTCTCCAAAGACGCCACTATATGTCCAGGACATGGGTGTGGGAGCTGGTGGCGATGGCGTCAGTGTGCTGGTGGCAGCCTGGGAGAGGCGCGTGGCCGCCGCCCGCGCGGGGGACATCCTGCGGGGGATCAGGGCCAAGCGAGCCAGGGCCATGAGGCTGGCTCACCATGCCGCCCAGACACATGACGCAGCCTGGCGCGACCAGGGTACGTAAAGATAATTTCACAATCACAAAATGGGGGTTTTATTGTGCTGGAGTGTACAGCAAAGATTTTGGAATGATCTTTCGGCGGCGATAATACCTTTAATCCTTCAAGATATACGCGTACTCCTTTTTGAAAGGCCGGCAACGCGTTTGTGGCCCCATCGGCGTTACAAAGCCTCTTTGGGTGTCGCTGATCACTTACCATCAGGTGATCAGCCTGCTCGTTTGCCTCCTAGTCCATAAAAAGATGATTTCATTTACAGAGCGTAAAGCTAAAGAAGCAGAAGCAAGTATGAGAGAGATAGCGCGAGCGGCGAGGGAAGCACACCGGCGGAGCGCTCACCTTGCAGCGCCGCCAGACACAACACAAGGTACGAAACATAATGTATTGATGTTTTAACAATATTTAACTTTACTGTCTTGCGATAAAGTTAAAAGTGTATTGAAGTTTTTTGTTAATTTCGAGTACTTAGCTTGATCACACATCATCAGCCTATAAGTTCCCACTGCTGAGCAAAAGCCTCTTCTCACACGAAGAAGGTTTTGAGCATTAATCACCACACTTGCTTAAAGCGGATTGGCGATTTCAAACTTATAATTGGAAATTATAAGTCCAGGTTTCCTCACGATGTTTTCCTTCACCATATTATGTCAGTGGTGTCTAAATAGTCATTGAAAGATCATACAGCTCGGAAAAATGTCTCTCATCCAACATTAGAAGCAGGCGCCTTAACCTCAGGGCCACCACAACCTAGAATAGCTTGATACTAGGTGTCAAAGAAGAATTGTAGCTGACCTGATCTTTACTCTTGTTAATATACATTTTCTTGCAGCGGGAAAACCGCCGAACAGAGAAGCAGTAGTGGAGTGGTTCCAAACACACGAACTCAAGCGAGGCGTTGGACTTGACGAGAACAATAAACCAGTTGATTGGTTCCACGGTAAGGAGTTTATTAATTAATGTAAAGTAGCTTTCTTATTATGGTGTGTGAATTATTAATCTGTGCTTTTTATTGGACTCCTTAGATGACCTGAGGAATTGATCCCATAATTTGTTCTCTTCTTACCAACTTTTTTTCTGCATTGCATTGCAATAATGTGAATTGTTGAACTTGTAAAAAATATACATATATTTTTAAAGAGAGTAATTCTCGTCATTCTCCATTTCAATATATACTTTTGAACAAGCACCTAGTTTCACTGACAAACTTTTTGACAGTTTACTTTAAAAGTACTTGTTTGTAGTTTAATCGGAATTTACAATCCTCTGTGTGAACATATCTTGTAGTGGACAATTTTCAAAGGCTGACTGATTTATTAAACCAATTGTAATTATACTTCAGGTTTGATCAGTCGGTCGGAAGCAGAGGCGGCGCTGTCAGGTTGCCCCGCGGGGAGCTTCCTCGTGCGTGTGTCGGAGCGCGTGTGGGGCTACGCCGTCACGTACCGCGACAGCGCGCGCTGCAAGCACTACCTCGTCGAGGCAGCGCGCGCCTACAGGCTGCTGCCCACCGGGCAACTGGCGCATGATACGCTCGGTATGATACTGAAATATTGCTATTTGGATACTTTTACTGATATCTAGAGTTAAGTGTAGGAGAGCCATGCTTCGGCAGGACCGAAATGATATGACGGCCTCACAAAAAACCGGCGTGAAACAACCACAGTGTTGTGTTTCGCCGTGTGACTGAGGTTACCGGAGGCCTAATATTTTCCCTTCTACCAATTCATCCAATTACATAAAAAAAAAACTAAATTTGAAATACAAGTTTCATTTCGAAGTTTGTGTTTCTCACTACTCAAGTACATTGGTACCGAAGCCTAGCTAACATTTGTACCTATTTCACATTCGATAAAAGTCCTTAGTGTGTTAAGTAGTGTGGATTGTTGCTTGGAAAAAGCCAAAAAATGTCAGACATAACCATTAACGCTTGACTGTGTGCATTCGTAACGCTACGCATTTTCATTCGTAACGCATTTTCATTGGTTGGTTGGAGCAGGCCAATCAGAGCACCGAACGTCATAAACATATCGATCGCAACGTAAAGCAAATTCACACGAACTGTTCCATCCATGGAGGACTAATTATTTCCAATTAAATTTCCAGCTGATCTCATAAACTACCACAAGACGGTCCCGATCACTGAGAGCGGTGGCGAGCTACTAATCACCGCGTGTCCGCCGCAACAGACGCCCGACATTTTGAACGCGCCGCCATCTTGAGTACACGCGCCCGTGTGACGTCACGCCTTGAACAGACACAGACATGAACCTCTTTTATAAATTTTCGACTTTACCACAATAGTGATAGAGTTGAAAATGTGTGTCAGTTTAAGTTTAGGTTGACTTGCTTTTGAACTTGAGCTGATAAGCTTTTAATACTCCACTGTTGCCGTTGTCTTTTAAAAGTGGCCTTGTATCTACTTAAATGTAAAAATTGCCTTTATAATGGAACGAGTGCCTTGTATAAGGATTAAAGAGATAATGTTGAATGTAAATATTATTTGTAAATATATTGAGTTATACAACTATACCTACTTTATATCTTACCTACAAGGACAGTTTGTTCAAGTGGAAAGTGCCTCCATTACGGCAACAGTGTCAAGACTATTAAATCGAATACCTTATATTTTATACTGTAGATGCTCTAAGCAGTCCATTATAATTACGTAAGTCGCTGTCAACTAGCTTAATTAGAATTCAATCATAGAACTTAATGACTAGTTGTTTGAGTGAATGACTGAATTTCTGTTCTAGTTCAATTTTGGTAATTGCTTAATTTTGATGGTGATTCAATTTATGTGCTCTTCTCTCTACTCCTTCTCCTAGGGGTAAGGGGTGAGGGAGTATCTCATATTGACATACCCCCCAAAATTAGCAATAAATAACAATTCCCTAAAAATCGCTTCATCCTTGACCTAAGTCAATCATCTAATAAATAAATCAATCAAACAGCTACTCATTCAATTGAATGACTAATTAAGCTAGTTGCCCGCGACATATACATTGTGAAAATAAAGATCGTGAAATCATCAACATTTGTAAAAACAGAAGCACATAAACCAAGTACTTAATCACATTATGTGCTACATTCCAAGTATAAAAAATGACATTCTGAGAAGAGAAAATTCAAATAAAATTCTCAACGAAATCTAAAAAGCTTTTCACGTCACTTTGTATGTACCTAGTGACTTAATATCGGTGCTAATTACTCTCGTATATTATTATTATTATCTATTGAAAATTGCGACTTAATCATGGGAACAAATTGAGAAATGCTCGACGAGTTTCAAGTCACAACGGGACTCTTATTCATGATCGGCGTACGCGCAGCGTTCGACTTGAAACTAGTTGAGCTTTTCTCAGTTAATTCACGTGGGTAACTCGTTATTTTAAATAAATGTAGTATCTATATCTTACAATAGTTACTATGCAAAATTATTATTATTATAAGTTGATCTCGATAGTTGGAAAACTCTTATATTTAAAGAAAAAACATTGTGCATTTCGTTAGCAGTATCTAATTAATGAACAAAATTGTATGTTAGTTATTGTGTAGGCTAATGTGATATTATACAGTCCTTCGAACATTATATTGTATAGCTTCAGTATTACCGCTTTGAAACGAAAATATATTGACGCTTAATGAAAGACAGAGAGAGAAGATATTTTGTACATAGCGCTATCTCATTTCGCATCAATATAAAAATATAATTGCTTAAGCATAAATATGTGTGCAACTAATCGGTCACAAAGTTGCCAAGTTGCAAGTTGCAATATTGTTATAACATAAGCTCAGTATATTTTCGTATGATGCAAGTCCTGATTCTGATAAATTAAGCCAAAGTTACTTCAGAACGGAATCGGAGCCTTCATTATAAGCTGTTTATTTTTAGCGATTTTGTATGCCATTTGTATCGTTCATAGTTGACGTACGTCTATTGATATTATAATACTATAGTCATTAACTGCCAACTAGAATAAATATTGTAATTATTGAAAAATATTTTTTGGTGTTTCATTTTTGGAACCTTCATCATCATCATCATCAGCCCATAAGTAACTTATAATTAGAAATTATAAGTCCGTATGTCAGTGGTGTCAAAACAATCATAGAGAGTACATATAAGTCGGAAAAAGTCACATTGGTACTTGCTAGGTTTCGAACCCACGCCCTCATGCATGAGAAGCGGGCTCCTTACCCTCCGGGCCACCAACCTTACTTAATATAAATATGAATGGGCAGGAGGGCCTTCGTCAGAACTTATCTTATGTGGTCAGAAAAATCTTTGATATAATCACAGTTAATCAGCCCAGGATTCAATAATTGGAAAACACCGGAAATTACCGTCAAATGACATATGGAACAATATGGCTCGTGAATTAGGTGGTAAATAAATAGTGTCATTCGCCGCTGGGTTTTTGTGTTGGACTCGGTTTTTGGAATCATATTATTATAAAAACATTTTTTATTTTTATTTTACTGCAATAAACTAGTGCTTGACTGCGATCCACCTGATGTTAAGCAGTGATGCAATCGTTGATGGTAAGGCGCACTAGTTTATTAAGAGCCTATTCACTCTAGCCTTGAAGACACCTAAATTGTATTCGGACGGAAAGACTGCAGCCGGCAAACTATTCCAATCCCTCGATGGACGCGGTATAAATGACGAGGCAAAACACTTAGTCCGGGCCGCAGGTGTCTCAACGACGTAGGGGTGGATATTCGCCGTACGCTGGGATGTCCGAAGGTGAAATTGGGATGGCGGAATCAAATCGTGCAATTCCTGGGCACACTCTCCAAAATGCATCCTGTAGAAAACCGCAAGGCTGGCTACTCTGCGCCTGTGCTCGAGACTTTGAAGATTGGACCCAACCAAATCTGGACCTCCAATCAGCCTCTTTGCACGCCTTTCCACTGAATCCAAAGCCGCTAGGTGGCATTTCGCAGCACCAGCCCATATGTGGCTGCAGTACTCCACACACGATCGGACCTGAGCTTTATACAATATTAGAAGCTGACTCGGTGTGAAGTATCGTCGGACTTTTGCAAGAACGCTGAGTTTTCTAGCAGCCACCTTGGCTCTGGACTCAATGAACCGCCCAAAGTTGAGGTCTGAAGCAAAAATCCCAAGAGCTGAAGGCGGTCGGTGCACTCTATGTGATTCAGTAGCTTGTGATCGATAAATATGATGAGATCGCGTCCTCGGTCGAATATATGTAGAGTACGTACTTTTTCTGGGAGCCAAAATATATCCAAGCGGCACCACCTACTCAATATTAGATTAAACTATCATTCGGATTTAAAGCCATTTGAAACAAGTTTGGTATGAGGGATCCGTCTGCTGTCTAGAACTGCGTGTCCAGCTAGCTGCCCTCACAACCCTCGACCCTGACGCTTTGCTCACCAATTTTTTTTTGATGAGGGGAAAATCATCAAATGACTTCTCCCGCCCAGGTTGGGGCGAGAGGGTGTGTCAGGCTCTTACTGACTAACCTTCTCTGGGGCCGAGGCCACGGTGCCTCATTGCGCTTGCCCTGCAACCTCGTCTGATGCTTTGCTACTGAGACTATTTCAGCTAAAAGTCTGACGGATGCGCCGTCATATTATAATTTGAACGAATTCTACGTAGGTAACAGTTATCACTATCTACTAATCACAATGTTAAGCCTTGTTTACGCTTTGCTTTTTTTGAGAAGGGGGAAATTACCAAATTACTTCTACCCATTATTGCGTTTGCTCCCGTAACCTCGGAAGGGAAAGGCAGGCTGTAGGGAATATCCTGGGAATATCCACCTATGTGGTGGTCTGATGGCTCTAAACGCAACACCTACCTTCGAGGATCAAGTCATTTTCTCGTGTCAGTCAATGGAGAGCCCTGGCCTCGTCGATTTATCGTCCATACCAAAATCCGGAAACAGGAAACTACTTATTTCATTATCGGTAAAACGGGGTGAATAGAATTCGAGGGGTGAATAGAATTCGAGGGGTGAATAAACACGGAAGAGGGGTGAATAGATACTAGGAAAATTCGCCAACATCTATTCACCCCTTTCGTGTATCTATTTACCCCTCAACTCCTATTCACCCCGTTTTAAGGTACTAGTTTTTGCCCTCGTATCCGTTCAACTCGTGTATAGTCGTCGAATTTTGGTATAAAAACTATCCTATGTCCTTCCTCGAGTTCCAAACTATGTCTGTACCAAATTTCACAGAAATCGGTACAGTAGTTTAGGCGTGAAGAAAAGACAGAATTACTTACAAATTGAGGGGTTTTTCCCTTAGGTGATATTTATAAATAAAAGCAAATATTTTATAATAAAGTGTTTATTAATAATATTGCGTGTAATAAATGTAACACTATACATATTTACAAACAATGTTCCTGGCCGCCGCTCTCTATGGCAGCTAAACTCGTCAAAATAACAAAATTCTAGTCTCTAAAAATCCCTTTGGCATATCTGTTTGTGACAATATGATGGAACTAACTAATCAACTGATAATAATTAAACAATTTATAAATCAACAGTAATCTAATAAAATATAGTTCCATGTTATATGCTAAACAATATATAATAAAATCGATTGGGAACGTGAGTTAATCGATTAGACTTTATTTAACTCTTTATTTTAGAAAACAAAATATGTATAATACACCATTAGAAATACATTTACATTTCACATATTGATAAAACTTACAATTGATTTCATTGTGAATTTATCAATATATGAAATTGAACCTGAAAATGAAAAAAATCTTCAATGCAATGTTCTTAATCGATTAACAATCGAATAAACCGATTAGGAAATGAAAAAAGTTAGGTTATATAACTCAAATCTTGTACACAATTGATTTCTAATGTTGGTAAGGTAATATCGCACAGATAGTAGCAGTCTTTATGTATCAGTTACCGGTGGCTCGGCCACCAGTAGCTGCGGTACAGTCACATATAGGGAAGGTTGGTCGGAGATCTGGACGTCGTCAGGTCCATACCGCTGCGCTGTTTGTTGAAAGAAGTTATATTAGTAGCTAGTTACTTAATATGGGTGATGAGAATGTCTCCTTAAATTGTAAAAAGCAGAGTATTAAATGATAAGTTGATACTCACAATACCCTCCCAGTTGTCGTAAGCTTTGGACAAGGTCTGGTACGCGGGGAGTGGCTTCTTTACTTTCTTCACTGGACTGTTAGACGCTGGAAAGTTTACAAAGAAATATACTTCTGGTTACTAGTAAGTTGAAACCTTCCACGATCTTCCACGATTTGTGACAACTAGGCTGTCTATTAGCTGGTTTTTTTAAAAACCGATGTCAATCTATCGTTTTTAGGTTAAGCTGTGGAACGGGCTGGCTCGACCGGAGAAACAACGCGATTTAACACGTACATCAGGTTAGCGGTGGCCTAATCGTACTCCCATCTCCGATCCAAATATGCTTACCATCACACATGACTGATTGCTTAACATCAGGTCCCATAAAAAAGCTCGATTATTAATTTCGGCTCTAAAAGCGTAAAGATTGTTTTATATAAATGGACCGATTGTAAATACCATGGTACTATCAGCAATAAATGATTCCTTCTTACACTTAAAATGGAAGAGTAGCTTGAGGAATTTGTATTTTAACTTAAAAGTCGAGAATATTAATGCTAGGCGAAATCTGCAGATAATTTATTATGGGTACTGTCGTCGTGGCGCAAACAAATATCTATATGTGACTTTTTCCTAGTAACATGTACATACTTTTTTATGATTATTTAGACACAACTGACTGACATACGGCGAAGGAAAATATCGTGAGGAAACCTGAACTTATAATTTCTAATTTTAAGTTTGAAATCGCTAATCTGCCTTGAGCAAGCGTGGTGGTTATGCTCAAATCTTCACGGTCTCAGAAGGCGTCTTTGCTCAGCAGTGGGCATTTATAGGCTGATGCTGATGATGATGAAATCGTACGTACCTCTGTTCCCACCATTCCTGTTATGTTGCTTGCCCCCCGGCATGTAGGGTAGTGACAGTTCCGGTGTCTTCTTGTTGCCCTTCTTGGCGGCCGCACGACCTCTGAGGAGCTCCTCATCCATTACCAACTTGTTGTTTACCCTTGGGGAAAAATATGAAGATACTTGTCAAGGAAGAGAAGATAGTGACATTCGAGAGAGTTATATCGAAAAAAAATGGAAACCCCAGTTTTTTCTGTTCAAGTGCCTGAGGGCTTATTTTATTACTCTCTTTGTACATGAATTGTACTAACTTTTGATTGTGTAGGTACATGTATTTTATTTTATTTATACATATTAAATAATATAACTTATATGGTGTACAATCTGAATAATTAAGAATCATGGATCGATGATTCTAGCAGAATGTTGATAAAGTTAAGAAGGGGGTTCCAAGAATACTCTATTTCATCTGATCCCACTTACTTCTTGATATAAGGTGTTCTTGGATACGTGTTGACTGGCACGGGAAATGTCTGAAATATAGTTTTAATTTTTTTTATTCTCACAAAGGAACAAAGAATATGGAACAAAAAGAAGTCGAAATATTCATGTTTGTTGAATGCGTTGAATGTTGTGTTATAATAATTACTGAAATACACGACTTACTTCTTCGTTAAGCATATTTGAAACCATGAATGAATTTATTTTTGCAAAAAGGCCATAAAATGTCACATTTACACGTCAAAATGATATCTAAAAATCTAGACGAAGCCGGCATTTCCTATCCAACTAGTCTGAGAAGAGAAAGCCGGAAGAAATGCCGAAACAATCTCAGAGTCAAGACTCTTTTAAAGAACTCTTTTCTGTCTCTCAAAACAATGTGAAAAAATCATAGTATGATGTGTATATAATTCTAGTATAAAGTATTTATAAATGTAAATTAGTTTACCTGGAATGTATCGTTGATGGCCCGCGCGAGGGTGCGTGGCGGCGCGGGGCGCGGCGCGGGCGGCAGCGCCCTCACTGGCGGCGCGCCCGACTGACGGTACATGTACTATTAGTGCCATACTATACACTAGCTTCCACCCGCGGCTTCGCCCACGTGGTATCATGATAAAAAATAGCCTCTATCCTATTCCGGAATATATTTTATGCCTGTGCCAATTAACAAATTCATCCAGATCCCTCTAGCAGTTTTGGCGTGATTGATTATCAAAGGTACGGCTCGATTGGAATGGATACCACGGCCTCACAGAAAACCGACGTGCAACAACCACAGCGATTAATTTCATATTATTCGCATAGCAGTTTAGAAAAAGTCTGTCACTTAAGTGCAATAGAAAGTCTGAAAACCGGTATTAGTGTTTAATTTCATCCAATCCCGTAACCCAAGCACGCATAGTCATGAACGTGACGTCAGGCACGTAACAATATTATTCAATACTATGTTCTACAAGTGCCACAAACCTCTGAATGTGTGGTTTCATGTGCAGGTTCACAAACGCTACGATGCGGCTTCTTGTCCATCGCACCCGTCTCCATTTGGACTTCAGTATCTGAAACGTGAACCAAACAATTAAGTTTACTTTTATTAGGTAAACAAATAAGGCCTTTATTTGTTTACGTGTAGAAAAAGTAATCATTATAAATTAATTTTCTGATAATTTTATAAATGATATATATTAACAGTTTAAATTAAATTTTTAGTTAAATCCGTGCGTGGTTTAATACACAAGTAGGCTTTGTCGACAATTTTAATAAAAAAACTTTGAAAGTCTGACATAATTATCCCACCACGTGTACTTGTTACTACGGCCTCACAGAAAACGTGAAAAAAAAGCTTGTGTTTTCCCCAATCCTCTCCATTAATTCCTATTTCAACCCCATACCTCTGGTGTCCATGGGCTCACTGGTGGTCATTAATTTGCCACGCTATCCCATTAAAATATTAATGTTTAGTTATTTCGACATAAATACGGGTCGGCTCGACCGGAGTGATACCATTGCCTTCAGAAAACCAGAATGAAACAACAGAATAATGAAAACACAGAATGACACAGCCTACCGGAGGCGGAGGCCCAAACCGTCCCATATATCCCTCATCAATCATTAAATCTCTAAAACTCCCCTGGTGTTTATGCTTACCATCAGGTTATCAGTTTGATCGTTTGCTGTCCTTTCAGATAAAAATGGTAAAATACTAAAAAAAAATTGAGTAATACGTACTGGGAGTGTAATGGTAGTCAATGAGCGATTCGCCCGCCGTACTGTCCGTCCGCGACCTGCTTTGGTCCTGCAATTTCAGAACATGTGTCCTTAAATAAATATATAATTAATTCATACTAACATATCACATAATCTAATAGGCAATAAAATGTAACACTAATTATTCTACGAGATTTTCTACAGGCTTATGTAATTATGTTGATAAGCTCATACCATAAAACTTAGAAGAAAGTTTATATTTTCCGGGCACAAATTTAACAAATTGAGAATTTGCCTGCTATTCAAATTCGATTCTTTTATCAAATCGGAAGAATCGACTGGATTATTATTTATTAATATAGAACGAACGGTAGCCACATAACCAATTTAACTACTCAATAATTAGATATTAATATATATGAACAAAAATAATTCCACACATTTATTTAAATTACTCTAAATATTAAATTTTTAAATATACTAAACAAAGTCTCATTGTAATGGAAAGTTAGATATAGTGACTGTTCTAGAATGAATTTTGTACAGAGGGATTGTATATTGTAACGCCATTTTTCGGCCTGAAAGTGCATTTTTTTTAACTAACGACTTACTCACTTTAAAATCGACTTAGAAAAGCTAAACTAATTGAAGTCAATAAACTAATTCAATAAATTTAGTATTTTCTACTATTCAAAAACAGCTATTTTAATAATTTCATGGAATGATGAAAAATTATCTATTTAATACAAAGTGTAGTGAGGTATATACCGGATAGTTACCGGTATAATGTTGAGCGTCCACTGCTGTCGAGGTTTGCCGGCGACACGCGCCGTGCTCTGTTGCGTCGGAGACGCCTGAGCGACAAATAAAAATATTAATTAAACTATCAACGGATGGAAAACGGCAACCAAATTTAAGAAAAGGATCTGCCAAGAAATATAGGTATGTATCTGATCAAGATATCTGGTAAATTCTTTATGTGAGTCATGACTAATTTCTATGACCAAACAGCATGGTAAACTTAAAACTTCTTATGTTTTTTTAGCACTACATTTTTAATAAAACAACTAACCTCAATCTCTTTTCCCAGTTTCTTTCTCAGCTCAGCGTTAAAATTCTCCGCAAAATTGTCTGCGATAAAGTATCTGAAACACCAAAACGAAGACACTTAAAACATCGCTTACTAGTACTAGTATATATATCAAGCACCAAACTTAATTTTGATAAATTCTTACGAATATAAGTATTAAGATCAATTTGTTTCCACTAGGCAATCTATACTTTTACTAGCAAACCCAGCCACGCGTTGCTGTGGCTAAGGTAAAAAATATTGTGACTATAAATTAAGATGTAAGCTATCCTATCCTTTAAGTTGGATCAAAATGCACACAGAATGCAAATAAAATTTTAAATCGGTTTAGTAGTTTAGGAGTCCATCGTGGACAAACACATGACACGAAATTTTATATTTAAATATTATTAAGAGGTAACATTTTTAATTTTGTATGTAGTAGGTAATCTTTGGAATTGCTGGTCCGATTTCCAAAATCTGCAACGCAAAATTTGAGTATTTTACTCCAGCTATTCTAAAGCTTCAAAGCCTTGGTTCATACACTGGTTTTATTTGGCAAAGCTATAGCCGAGGGCGAAAGTTATGTAGTACTGGATGGGTGAACTAACTTGTGTCTAAGCAGTGCCTGTGCGGCGGGCCGGGCGCGGGGCTCGGTCCGCAGGCAGGCGGCGAGCAGGTCGCGCGCGGCGCCTGCGCCCGGCAGCACGCCGCGCCCCGCCGCGCCCGGCGTCGACAGCGCCGCCCCGCCCGCTAGACGGGACACCACTTGCTGGTGGCGGGGGGCCAGCTTACCTGTCGAAGTCGTAAGGCCATGAGACCATGGAAACCCAAAAAGAAGAGACTAGACCAAGCCTCATATATCTTTTGGGGATTTCAAGGTCTCATGGCCAAGGCAGCCTTTCCTTAATATCGGCATCATTGTCGACAATGTTACATATTCTATGTAATAAAAGGGTGATCCTATTGCATCCATATACTGAGGACACTATTTCAAACTTCGTGCTGCACTCAGAAATTACACAACAACACTGCGACAATAACTAAAAAAAAAAAACAAAAATGTGGAACAATCATCAAACAAAAACCCTGTGTAAAGCGAGTTAATGTATTTTTTCTCTCCGTGATACTTCTGGTCAAAGATCTGGAAGGTTGGTTGACATAGGATGATCGCTACTAATTTGTCATAGGGATTTAGTACCCCACAATTTGTTGACGTTTAGTGGGCTCCGTTCAACGTATTATAATGCAAAATTAATAACTTCGAAAACTCACCGACAGTTTTAATAATGAGTGCGAGCTGATCAATATCCGAGTCTCCAGGGAACAGCGGGTCACCTGTCAACATCTCCGCGAAGAGGCAACCGATTGCCCAAATGTCTACTTCGGGACCATACCTAAAATAAGAAAATTCAGTTGTGCAGCAAACTTCAATATTAGTTTGTTTTGGAAAGTTTAAAAACAATTTATGTTGTTTATTTATGTGATGGGATGGCAAACGAGCACTATTAGGATTACCTGATGGTAAGCAATCAGCGCCGCCCATGGACACCCGCTACAACCGAGGAGCTACGAGTGCGTTGCTGACGTTTTGGCAATAAAGTTTTGGGAGATTTAGGGATTGGGCCATCGGTATCCCCACAACTACATATGTATAAAACCGAGTTTACAAGCATGAAGAAAAATGGAAGGAACTAGGCCATTTACCACGACAAAACAAAGATATTAACAAGTACCTATGCTCAGCGACGAGTAGTTCAGGTGCGCGGTACCACCGCGTGGCTACATACTCCGTGTAGGGCTCGCCAGGCGCCGCCAGGGCGCGTGCGAACCCAAGGTCACAGAGCTTTACTATGCCCGCGTTTGATACTAACACATTCTCTGGTTTCACGTCGCGGTGGATTATCTGAAATGATAATAAACTATAATATCATTAAGTGCTAGAATATCTGCTCATATAACTTCACAGTTACACCCAGACTCGGCACAGTAATTTGTGATTAAAACGCACTATGCCAACTGTACAAACTCAACTTTTCAAGCTACAAGCTTAGTTCAATATTACCATATTCTACTACTGAATCAGTTTTCTTCAATTTTTTCATCAGAAAAGCCAAGATGTGAAATTCGTTGCCATAGTCTGTGTTTCCACTATGTTTATAATATGGATGTCTTATAGGCCCGAGTAAATTGGTTGTAGATAGATAGGTATGTAAATACAGGCAAAAGAGTAGCCCATAGAGAACTTATCCAGTTACTCTATGGAGTAGCCAAGCGCCAGCCCATTGCAAATAAAATAACATACATAAAAACACTCACAGAATTCTGATGGCAGTAATCAATGCCCTTCAGCAGTTGGTATAGGTGTTTCTTGGCGGTGTCCTCGCCGAGTCCACCTGGAGCTGCCTCCAGCTCATCGAGCAGTGTATGGTCGAGGTATTCGAACACCAGGTAGAAGCGTCTCTTACGTCGAAACACTTCTATCATGTTCACCAAGTGATCGTGACGGAGTTTCTGTAAACGGAAAATGTAATTCAGTTCAAGTAGATCCTTAATCACGTAAAATAACATACAGTGTTAAATTGTTCATTACTTTGAGCATTCGTATTTCTCTGAGCGCCATCTTTCGGACGGCGGCATCTTCCTCAGTCTCCAAAAACTTCTTAATGGCGACTAGCTGGCCCGTGTCTCGGCGACGGCACTTTAGAACCACGCCGTATGAGCCTTCGCCCACCTGAAAAATATCAATCTTATTGGTCTGCACGGAGTCGAAGAAAGAGTCGAGTACCTTGGATTCATCACTCACAAATATTTCTAAATAAAAAAATAAATATTTTATCGTATTGGCCTTTCTTAAAATTGTTATTTTTAATTAAAAGGAGCCTAATAAGTATCTGATAAAATCTAGCAAAGAAGGTAATTTTTTACTTTTCTAAACCAAATATACATGAGTCTAAGTTTAGATAATAAATTCACGTAACCAATGATGTAACAAGACAAATGATCACTTTCTTATAGAAAAACCAGCACCATTACATTGGGAAAGCGGTGGTATGATTACCAAAATAGAAATGTCAACAAAATTAATATTATTGCAAGTATTTTGGGCGATTACAGAATAGCGCAGCATTTTTATAAGTTGGGCCTGACACCGACTGTTACTGACGTTATTGGGAGTCGCTGTTTAACCGAAATAGTTACCTCGTACTTACATTAAATTATACAAACTTTACCAAGTAATGAAAATACAAATTGCAGTTTCTAATTGATACTTTTTGTATTACAAAACGAAAAACGTGAAATATTTCTATAATCCTTAATTTGTAACTTAAATTCGCGTTGTTACGTCCTTTTGTCATGTTTTTTTTATAGAGTTCAAATCAAGTTAAGTAGCTTGCTTATAAAAAGACCCCAAAGTTAACATATAAACAGAAAAGATAATGTATCAAATATGAACTGACCACTGACAGCTGCTCGTACTTATCCATGCCTCGGCTGCTAGGCGTCGACGGTGACAACGCGGAGCAACGATCCATTCTGACCAACATCTTTGTTCAAAGCAGACATGTTAACAAATACACACCAAAAACCTGTAAACAAAACATTTCACCGTTAACTATTATGGAAACATTAATCATTAATGTATTAGCAATTTCAAGTGTTGGGGGCTCAAGGTAAGGGAGGCCTACTCAGCCGGGGTTTGCGAGTATAAACAGATTAATGTGCCCCGGCACCGTCCTGGGAGCGGACGAAGGAATGGTATGGTTTTAATTTAGTAAGAGTATTACATACGCCCCTTCTCACTCTTGGGCGGAATAGTCATTTGACGATTTACCTCGTCAAAAAAAAAAACGGGAAAACCTACTGACAGTGTCTATTTTATTTTAAACCTTATGTAGGTATCGCAGAACATTTAGAACTGAAACACACGGAACATATTCAACCCATTCCTTTTTTAAATTCGAGACCTTGTTTTCTTTTCAGATACGAAAACTCGTACGTCCTCATACTCGTATGTCGCTTATTTGGCCCCAACCAAAGGTAAACAAGTACATTAAGTTTAAAAATGTTTTTTTTGTGTTACAACGTTGTTTTTAAGGCAATATTGTATTCAAAGTTCAAACAACATCGTGATGGCAAATAATTTCAAAGAAAAAAATAAAATTCACAATTCAACAACAACAACAACAACACACTATTGCGAATAAATAATGCAAACAACATCAAACAAACACGTCATACATTTTCTTTGAAGTTAGTTAAAATAATTTCCGTAAAGAAACAAAACATCAAATTGTAGGGCGAAGTCTTTAATAATTTATCGGTTTCTACTTGAAAACGTCTGTCCTATTGAAACTAATAACTGATAATTTGAGGTACCTATCTAAATTGAAGACAGTTTTAGTTAATGACAGGGCTGTCGCATTCGATCGGAGCCTATCAATGTTAAGAAATTAATACTGGCCGTGGTGCAGAGCACAGACAATAGCGGGAACAGAGCGTACGACGCGTAGTGTTCTGCGCGCGCCTCAAAGGTCTCGAAGAGCAAATATACTCCCGATAGAGCCAATATAATAGACCACCACAGAGGGGGCCCTATTATAGGGCTGATGTTCAGCCGAGGTTGCGGGATAAGCGCAATGAGGCACCACGACCTCGGCCCAGGGCAGGATAAGAAACGGGAATTTTCAGTCAGTAAGAGTCTGACACTCACTACCTCCCGCCCGACCGATGATTTTCCCCTCGCAAAAAAGCGGGATCAGAAAAAAGATTAATACTTCTCGCTCATCCCTCCCCAATCCCTTATCACCAAAAGCCCATATTTCCAAAAGGTCGGTAACGCACTTTTAACTGTTCTTGCATTGCTGGTGTCTGCATACGGCGCCGATTGCTTGCCGTCCGCAGGTCTCCGTTCCGTCCGCTCATATGCCGACGTATCACATCAAATTAAAGTTAACAGTATACTCGTATTATTAATTTTATAATTTTAAGACTTTCAATGTTAGACTTCGAATACGGTACGTCACAGCCATAAAGAGTATCCCTTCAAGTTTCACTTCAAGTGAAACTCTTTATGGCTGTGACTAACGTCTACGATTAGTTAGAATCTATTATTTGTTAATCTTTTCTCAGAATTAAAAATCCAAGTTCATGAACAATACACAAGACATATTTTCTTAAAGCATTTAGAACTTGTAGCATTATAATATGTGTTATATGAATGACGGGATGCCTTACCATAACTCTGCATTAATGACTCGTAATATAAATGTAACAATTGGTTATCGCATAAAAGAAATCGCTGTAACCTTATGGCTTACACGATGGTGTACACTGGTGGAAAACATTCACACGGCCCAAGCACTGTAATCTGGACTTTCCTATGTTATTTAATGGATGCATATCTAACGAGTACGAGGTATTATTGTATGACGCGACAACACAAGTGGATGGACGAGTATTACGTATTATTAGGTTATAATGTGTTATCAATGATGAATTAATTTTGTCATTTTGCAAGAAATAATTTATCACTACACTTATCTTTAACTGAATTATAAGCATTGACAAATTTTTTTGCGAATGATTGTTTTTTTTTCATGGTATAAGTCGGCAAACGAGCAGTCGGATTACCTGATGGTAAGCAATCGGCCTGGGGAGGGATTGGGGAAGGAGAAAGATTGGGCCTCCGGTAACCTCACTCACTCAGCGAAACACAACAATGTGCTTGTTTCACGCCAGTTTTCTGTAAGGCCGTGGTATTACTCCGGTCGAGCCGACCCATTCGTGCCGAAGCTTGGCTCTCCCACACTTAAAGAGCACAAGAACGGGTGAAAGAATAACAAACATACATCTTTAAGTGTGGGAGAGCCAAGCTACGGCACGAATGGGTCGGCTCGACCGGAGTGATACCAATGCCTCAAAGAAAACCGGCGTGAAACAACCACACAATTGTGTTACGCCGTGTGACTGAGGTACCTCCCCCAATCTCTAATCCCCAAAAGGTCGGCAACGCACTATTAACTCTTCCGTTGTTGTCCATGAGCGACACTGATAGCTTACCATCAGGTATTCTGTATGCTCGTTTGCATATCCTATTAAATAAAAAAAGAAAAAACTAGTATACAAAACAATAAATAAAAAATTAAAAACAAAACAATGATCCTTTACCACACGTAATAGCCAGATAATATCTATAGTAAGCTAAACAATCGCGTGCCGTATTATCTTTAAATAAATACTATGACATTTTAATTAGTTTAAATAAAATGATACCCGGTCACGTCAGCCAAGGTCAAGGGCTCAGCAATTACTGGAGTCACCGATATAATGGTGATAGGTTTGTGAGTCGAACAAATTGCTGTGTGTAGGGCAACATAGTAATTTTACGTAAACATTTTCATATGGTAAACGGTTAACAAATATTGTTAAGGTCGTCGTGGTAATATTTTTAGACATGATGAATGAGTCTACGATATTTGGGGGATGCCTATAGGAAAGTAGGTACCTAGTGACTCAGTGTAGATATTGGTGATGAATTTTAGATTGATATTTTTATGGTTGTGTTAGTCATGCTCCTATATAATATCAAATATGTAGGTTTATGTACCTTCCTGTTTTATATTGAATTAAAATATATATATATATATATTTTATTGTATGGCATAATTTATTAACCTTTGAACTTCGCATTTATTGTCTTTAATATTATTTATATTGAATGTTGTGTACAGGATATAATTAGACTTTAAGTTTATGCTTTGTATGTTGTTTTAACTGTATTCTGTAGTTTGTAACTATACCCACATATTAAAAAAAATATACTGTCTGGTGAATTTGTACATTTTACCCGTAATCATAAAGAATATGAAAATTGGTAAAGGCCGCAGTAATTCCAGAATTTGTTACATGAACTTGTCGAAATCATATTATGAGAATGCAGCTAGCTTTTGGGATTATCCAAATCTCTATGTGTCACAACATTCCACAAACATAAAAATAAAAACGACAGCGAATTCATTTGACATTGGAAGAATTGGTGTAGGCCTGCCTGTCCATGCTCATGTGTGTGTTCCGTGCGCTTAATGGCGGAGGCTCAATGTCATCGCCGACCCTCATATATTGTGTATCGGCGGCCCTGGTGACACGGCCGTCATTGGAGACCAATCAGCCTGCATCATTCAATTACTTTCACCTATCCTAATGGTGGATGTCATGGGCACGAAAGTGGTATAGCTGTAGAGAAAAAATTCTAATTGAAATGCTTTTTCAATTGAAATTGTTTATAGAAAATAAATGATGATTGATGAATGATTAATAAAAAAGCGCGTATATATATTTTCGTAAAAACAGTACCGTTTTTTTGAAACGAATTATTCATTTCAATATTGCATGTTTCGCGATTCAAATGCAAAGTTTATAGCTTTATTGACAAGTCACGATATAAATTTCTTTCTACTATCCCTTTATTTATCATTAGAACATTTCTGTTTTCACTGTACTTAGAACATAGGTCAAAGTACGCAAAATGTAATAAATCTCTTCATAATAAAAAGTTTTAGGAACAATAAATAAAACATTTTACTCGTCAAAATTATATATTGTGATCAAAATTATAAAACTATTATAGATGAAGCCGGCATTCCTGACTGACTACTCTGAGAAGAAATGCCGAAACAAACTCAGACGTCGGTCTCTTTTCGAGTTTTCAAAGATTCTTTAAAGTTATCAAAGCTTTGTACTAACTAAGTATTTTATAGCTACCGTTAGCCTAAATTGATATTAAAATATTCTATTACAATGATTAAATATAATTTTGGACAAAAATAGAGGAAAATTTATTAAGCTGATAGTACCTGAACGTGATTTCTATTGTCTTGTTGTAAGATCATTCAACCTATAAAAAGATTTCAATTTTTTTTGTCAACTACTTAATTATTTTGGAATGGGGCTTGTACTGGTCATCGTACTTATACCAGCTGCCATAAAAATGTTAAATTAATAAATACATCTAAAATACACTCGATAATAGTAGTTTTAGTTCTAACACTGACAGGGGGAGGTTTGTTGTTTAATTATAGTAATTTCACGGCCACTATAGATTAGCTTAGATATACCTACCATAATGGTTATTATTGTTGACATTGAAATATCTGTCAGTTAATGTCACATCAATCCAACCACGCCATGGCCTACCCTAAGGACAATCAGAAATACTATTTTATTAACATAAAATAAGTCATTTTAATATTTTAATACCTGAGAGCACTGTAATGTAATGTATTTCGTAGTGCTCCGCGAGTGCGTTGCAAAGAACCAAGAGACTACTACAGATGGGGCTGCGGTCGGCGAGTAAGGGCAGCTCGCCGCCCGACCAGAACCAGGCCCGAGCGTACGGCGCGTAGCGTTCCGCGCGCTCCTCAAAGAGCCATTAGACCACCACAGATGGGGCCCTAAAGGGCTGATGTTCAGCCGGGGTTGCGGGGTAAGCGCAATGAGGCACCGCGACCTCGGCACAGAGCAGGAGAAGGAACAG